AAGACAAAACAGAAATCTTGTGCATTCACACGTAGCACTTGTAAAAACAAACAGAAATCTTATGCGTTTGCCACTTGTGTACAGTAAGCCCATGTAAAAAATAAAGTACAAAAATATACAAATAAGTGCATTACTCAGCCACAGCCTCATGTCTCTGTGCTGGGTCAGGCCACAGGACTTCATCCACATCACAGGCCACATTTTGTCTGGCCAGGCAACGGGGGAAAAGTATCCAGGCTTGGCATGCCTCCACACCTGTGCCACCAAACCTGTGCCACCACACCTGTGCCTCCACACCTGTGCCACCACACCTGTGCCTCCACACCTGTGCCACCAAACCTGTGCCACCACACCTGTGCCTCCACACCTGTGCCTCCACACCTGTGCCACCACACCTGTGCCTCCACACCTGTGCCACCACACCTGTGCCACCACACCTGTGCCTCCACACCTGTGCCTCCACACCTGTGCCACCACACCTGTGCCTCCACACCTGTGCCTCCACACCTGTGCCACCACACCTGTGCCTCCACACCTGTGCCACCACACCTGTGCCTCCACACCTGTGCCTCCACACCTGTGCCTCCACACCTGTGCCACCACACCTGTGCCTCCACACCTGTGCCACCACACCTGTGCCTCCACACCTGTGCCACCACACCTGTGCCACCACACCTGTGCCTCCACACCTGTGCCACCACACCTGTGCCTCCACACCTGTGCCACCACACCTGTGCCACCACACCTGTGCCACCACACCTGTGCCTCCACACCTGTGCCTCCACACCTGTGCCACCACACCTGTGCCTCCACACCTGTGCCTCCACACCTGTGCCACCACACCTGTGCCTCCACACCTGTGCCTCCACACCTGTGCCTCCACACCTGTGCCACCACACCTGTGCCACCACACCTGTGCCACCACACCTGTGCCTCCACACCTGTGCCTCCACACCTGTGCCTCCACACCTGTGCCTCCACACCTGTGCCACCACACCTGTGCCTCCACACCTGTGCCTCCACACCTGTGCCACCACACCTGTGCCTCCACACCTGTGCCTCCACACCTGTGCCACCACACCTGTGCCTCCACACCTGTGCCACCACACCTGTGCCTCCACACCTGTGCCTCCACACCTGTGCCTCCACACCTGTGCCTCCACACCTGTGCCACCACACCTGTGCCTCCACACCTGTGCCTCCACACCTGTGCCACCACACCTGTGCCTCCACACCTGTGCCTCCACACCTGTGCCACCACACCTGTGCCTCCACACCTGTGCCTCCACACCTGTGCCACCACACCTGTGCCACCACAGTCCCATGGCTTGCAGGAGATTTACCCTGGTGTAAGGTTGGCGCTCATATACCTTCCACCGCCATGAGGAGAAGAATCCCTCAATGGGGTTTAGGAAAGGGGAGTACGGTGGAAGGCAAAGATTGATAAAACCTTGGTTCATATTGAACCACTCTCTAACCTGGAGGGCTCTGTGAAAACTCACATTGTCCCAAACAACAGCATAGATGGGATGCTCCTCCTGCTGCCCTGACAGAGCATCTCGCGTGTGATTGAGGGAGATGAGGAGCTGGTGAGTGTTGTAGGGCCACAGGTTGGCATGATGGTGGATGGCAGCACATAATGTGACATTGCCCCCACGCTGCCCAGGAACACCAACAATGGCCCGATGGCCAATTACGGCCTCTCCTCCTTTTGGTGAGATTAAACCCAGCTTCATCCGTGTAGATGTATTCATGGGGACTTTCCATTGCATCCAGTTGAAAAACCCTCTGTAGAAATAGATATAGTTTTGTAAGTGATACGGAAAGTGATTTAGGCCAGTACATTCAACATTGAATGTGTCTGGATATATGCCAACCTGTACATACTGGAATCTTTGCTCTTTGACTATGTATCGCGGTTTCTGTTGCGCTTGAGGACACGATCAACAGTAGAGAGGCTGACGCTGTTGATACCCTCAAAATTTGCATGGTCCTCAACAGTGTTGGGCAGTAACGCGTTACTAGTAACGCGTTACTGTAACGCAGTTACTTTTGACAGTAACTAATACTGTAACGCATTACTTTTTAAATAAAGTAACTCCGTTATCGTTACCATATGGTGCGTTGTCCGTTACTTTTTTAAATTAATTAGTTGCTGGAGCGGCTGAGAAGTGTGCGCTGTTACACAGTACGAGATTACTGAAGAGACTGCTAGCATTATACAGAGCGAGAGGACACATAAACTCACTGGCTGAGTTGTTTACGTTAACACGTGAGGCTGCGCGAGCACGGAGATTACAAGCTGCACGGAGAGCGCTGAGCACTTCAGATGCGCATTTAAAACACAGACAGCGAAACGGTATGAATACAGAACACTAAAGTACACATTGCCATATCATTATAAAGTAATATTTTGTCTAGATGCTGCATCAACAGAGAAAGAACAGAAGCTTGCCGTCGAGTCTGAGAGGAATAACATTAGTAACGGCTAACTTACCTCAAGCGATTAAAGCAATGTGACCAAAACACACGCAGACCTGACCCAGATGTTTTATGTCGCAATTGTTACCATCTATTTGCATTAGTTTATATCCAGCTGGTCACTGTTATGCATTCATTAGCCGGCGAAGTTGTATTTTTAAAGCTGACGTGATTGCAATGCTTACATTGATATGTTCATGCAGCGACATCAAGTTTCCTAATCAAGTGTTCTAAAATTTAAGCAAATAAAGTGAAAGACTATACATGTAATATATAGGTCTACATTTATGTAATTTTAATGCTCTGGCCTTTGCAGATATTTAAATATGGCCATCTTCTATAAGCTTGAATCATATAAAATGGTAACACTTTACAATGAGATTACAATTTTAGCATTAAATATGGTTAATAAATGTTGTAGAAGTATCATTCATTGTTAGTTTTTTAATTTCAACATTTACTTAATACATTTGAAATTGAGTTTAAATTGTTATTGTATCTGTTATTACCTTAGTTAATTAGCCTACTATGAACTAACAAGAATGATCAAGGTACAATTGTATTGCTCAAATATTCATTCATGCAGTAAAAACGTATTACTGTCAGCTGCATGAACATATCAATGTTGAGAAAGCAAACACATCACTAGCTTTACACATGCTTGTTTTGTTATTTATTTCAGAAATCCTTGTGATATATTCAGTTTGTGCTGGTCTGACTTAAATAAAATAGTGTTTAAAAATTACTTTCTGTTTAAGTCAGTTTTGTGTTTGTATAGACCATAACGCATAAAAGGGCATTAATGGGAACATTAAAGAACTTTCTTTAAAAAAGTAACTAAAAAGTTACTTTTCACAGTAACGCATTACTTTTTGGTGCAAGTAATCAACAAAGTAATTGAGTTACTTTTTGAATGAAGTAACTAGTAACTGTAACTAGTTACTATTTCTTAGTAACTAGCACAACACTGGTCCTCAATGATCTTTTGCTGAATTTCCCTCAGTTTAATGGCATTGTTCTCACGGACCATATCAACAATTAGGGTCTCTTGGTGTGGGGAGAACATACCTGTCCTCCCACCCCCATGTGGCGGTCTTTCAATTCTACAAAAAGAGAACATGGAGTTACAAAAAATATACATGGAATACTAGGCCTACAAACAGTTCACCAACCCTCCATTACAATACTACAGTACATTGGTACAGTGATGTACTGAAACATATTTACTTACAGTATACTGTGGTACAGTATATATTATGTCATACAGTAATTGCTTACAACATTTACATACTGTACTATAATGTCAAAAAGGGTAATTACCTGTTCTATGGTGGACACAGTGAATCTACTGATGTTTGGTTGTACCCGTTGTCCAGCCTCCCTCATGCTCATACCATGGACAAGAACATGGTCAATCACAGTAGCTCTGATTTCATCAGATATTACTGTTCTTTGTCTTCGCTGACCACCTCGACCTCCTCGACCTCCTCTCACACGAACTCTTCCTCTCAGATTTCTATCCATTAGAGCCTCACACACCAGTGCTCTCTGAACTGGCTTACTGTATATGTTCCCTCACATCATTGGGAACATATACAGGGGGGGGGGGGTTTCCCGGGACTGTCCCGTATTTCAACTCTAATTTTAGTGTCCCGACTTATTATGAAAAAATCATGTTTTGTCCCGTATTTCATCGTTAATATATATTTTTATATATTATAGGTTTCGTTTTCGAAAGGCTACGTGAATATGTATGTATGTTATGTTCAAAACCGTGTAGCGCGCGCATGACAGAGAGGGAGAGAGCGAGAGACCTTGCGTGTGTGTGTGCTATAGTACGCATTACTACAATATTGTACGCATTATAATGTAATGTAGACAGACACTGTAATTAAAAGAGGTTTGAATTTTTCTTTGCTCAATTTGCACACTGAATATGGGTTGGAGCTTTTAGTTTTGAACAATCAAAGTGCACCAGATTGATGAATTTAACATTAAAATGCACAAAATTTTCTTACGGGGAAATACCCCCGAAACCCCCTAAACCTTGTAGCAGCCCAATAGATTGTAATAATAGTAGGCCTAGTGGTGGTAGTAGTTGTAATTTATCTACTAAAAGTTATTTATGGTCAGATAAAATATAGTTGTACAATGCAACTATGATGTAAATATCCTTGAACGTTCTTTGTAGCATTTGTATGAACAATTTATTGTTTAAGTTTTTGAGTAACTATAAGAGCTTGTTTAGTTTAATAAATACTTATAATTTTTATATTTTTTTATATTGCGCAAAACTCAATATCGCCTAGGGCAACCAAAGGGTTAGAGCCGGCCCTGACTCCGCCCCCTCTATCGTGACTGAATGAGCTGAAGCTCCGCAGCCGCCGCACTGCAGACAGCAGCTGAACGGAGTTTTGCAAGGGTAAACAAAGATCTTGTTGTTTGAATAAGTACTAAACACGTCGCTATAAAAGCTCATATTTTATTTATTTGATGTCTGACTAAGATATGTGGGACCTGACAGAGAGGGCTATGCTAGCATTTGCCATAGTCATAGCCAATACATAGCCTACACTTAAATAGCCTGTGCATACAGTAGCATTTCATTTTTTATAAAATGCGATTTTGACCAAATGTATTTTACAACAGGAAAAACTGAGCGCCTATATAGCTATATTAATATTATAACAATCTAGTTGGTAAGCTGTTGATGAAAATGTAATGATGCCGCCGGCGCCGTTTCCATCGGAGAATCATAAGCACATGCGCGCCCCCGCGCTGTTCGTACTGGAACTACACATCCTCGTCACCTAGGTAACATATATGAAATTATGGTTAATTCAAGGCTGTTAATATGCACTTACTCGCTGTCTAATTTTTGAATCTATAGTATTTTATACTCTCCGGTCATCCTCACATGTCTAAATGTAGTAAAACGTGGTTTTCACTTCTGATCACTTCTGCAGAATGTTTATCATGCATAATGTAATTCATGATTTCATTCATTTCAAGGCTTAATATATTTGATCCAAAATAAGCAAAAACAGTAATATTGTGAAATATTTTTACAATTTAAAATTATATTAGAATACTATTTTAATATATTTTAAAATGTCATTTATTTCTGTGGTCAAAGCTGACTTCAGTGTCATGTGATCCTTCTAGGGATGCACCGATGTGAAAATTTTGGCCGATACCGATAACCGATATTAATATTGCTGTTATGGCCGATACCGATATTTACCGATGTCGATATCTATAGAAAACACATTTTTATGATAATCAAATAAAGAGCTTTTTTCCAAAACACATTTTTATTTTTTATTTTCAGAAATGACTGATATTGGGCACCTTTACCTGTGTGCAAAATATGTCATCAGATTTTCAAAAGAAAAAATAAATATTTATATAAACATTTTTTTAAATAAAGGATACAAGTCCTGAATTCACACTATGAATAAGCCAACCCTGAGTATTCTCAAATCTCAATAAACATCTAACTCACTTGAGACAAAGTTACTGTATTCTGTGAACATTGTACAACAGTTCAAAACTTTAAAGTACAGTAGTAGGCCTTAAATGGCCAAAGCCAAAAGTATTGAAAGGTAAAATGTGAAAATGGAGCCAGAACAAACTGGACTGAACAGACACTGGCTTTTGCAGTCTTCTGAACTGTAAGTACAGTAACTAAGTACTGTAACTACCAAGTACTTTAGGGTTAGGCCTAACCCTTGGCCTTCCCGGGCTTTGGAAGCAGACAAATGTTGTACTTAACAAACAGGAGCATTTCTGCTCTCTCTGTACCGATCCTATTTCTCTTTTCACTGACAACATTTGAAGCGCCGGAGAAGAGACGTTCACTTTCCACGCTTGTACAGGGAGCTGAAAGGTACTTGCGTGCCATTGGGGCGAGGGCAGGGAAGCGGGTCATGTTGCTTTGCCAGTACTGCAGCGGGCTCACATTTCTGGGGATGGTGGGCTCACTCAGGTAACCATGCACCTACAAGAAATATAGACAAGTGTAAATATACATCTCTGGCAAATCATCAGGAAATTATTATTCAACATTTGTATTCATGACACCAAATGAAATAAAATAACTGTTCATTCAGTTTTTCATGAGATTTTACTGTCAATAAATGATCTGATCACACAAAGAAATGTGAAAAACTTAATTTGAATGAAAGACTATTAAAAGATTATCTGATTCAAATAGTATAGTAACCTAGCCTACCTGCACACTCGTTGAACCTGTTGCCTGTTCATCCTGCTCCTTTTCCTCCAGAATTTCATCGAACATGTCCAGGAACGAATGCCCTTCACTTGGTGTACACATCCTCTTTTCTTGTGGTTCACCTTCTTCTGGCTCAGTGTCTTCTGTGTCTGGTGTAGGCCCAAATGTGGCACTGGCGCTGGTTGTCGCTGACACTGTCATCTTGTCCACTTCTTTCTCTAGCTTGTTTTTTGCCACTTGCTTGAGATCTGCATCAAAGTAGCGATCTTTGTATCTGGGGTCCAGGATTGTTGCCAAGTAGTAGAGTTGCTCGGAGAAAGTGGTTTCAAATCTCTTGTTCATGGCTTCAAGCAGTGCAGACTTGGTCGTTTTGACCCCACTGTCGGTTTCGGCTGTCTTGTTCAGAAAACGCTTGAGTGCCACAACAGACGGGATCACGTCAGCAGCTGTAGCTGTATGCGAGCTAATCTCTCTCGTCAACTCTTCAAAGGGTGCCAGGAGTGTGGTCATTTTCTCAATGAGACTCCACTGGTTTGCGTTGAGAGATACAGGCAGTCCGTGGTAAGCCTCGTACATAACCAGTGCGCGCTTTTGTTCCAGGAGAGTTGTCATCATCAGGAATGTACTGTTCCAGCGCGTTGGGACGTCCTGTTGTAGCATCTTGGTCTTCATTCCCATCTCTCTCTGGATGTCTCTCAGCCGAGAGGTACCAAGGGGGGAGCTTTTAAAATGTCCGACTATTTTTCTCGCTATAGCCAAAGAGTCAACACCGCTTCGCTGGCTTAGTACTGCATCGTGCACTGCTAACTGCCCCAGATGAGCCATACAGCCCAGGCTTTTAACACCACACTCCTCCATCGCCTTCACCATATTTCGTGCCTTGTCTCGAAGGACAACGTGCACATTTTCTTTCCGGATTCTCCATTCTGTAAACATGCCCTCAAACGCACTGGCTATGGCGGTACCTGGAATAAAAGGATTTTAAAAAAAAAGTTTAATCAAAGACATGTTAGCTAGCTGGCACATGATACAATGCGTCTTTTTTCCCAACCAACTTCTGCCATTCCCGCATTCTGATCAGTCACGGCAGAAGTGGGTTGGGTGTATATATTGGCTATCTATAAAGTCTATATCGATTAGCATTACATTATAAACACAATAATCTATTATTATGAAAATACCTGTTATGGCTCAAAGAACACAGGTAAATCAAATATCATTGCAATCATGTTTACTGTCTTCAAAAGATCTTTATCTGCATTTGGGTATAAATTCAATAAATATTATTCCGGTCTATAGAAATCTAATGTAAACCTATGAGAATCTATAAATGTTTCTCCATATTATATTTCTTTTATAGCTAAAAGCCCTGAGGGACGTTGTTTTGTCAAGCGCTGTCATGACGACAGCACAGGAGGTTTTTTTTTCTGAATGAGAGCGGCTGACGCTCACAATTCATATTAAAGTTATCGACACATTTTTTTCATTACATCCTGACACAAATAAAGACATAACTGTCGCGATAAGTTTCTCAGAATACAATAGTGGTCAAATACTAAAACTTGAGTCTTATATCGTTTCGTTTTATGATGTAAAGTTCTAGTTTGTCAAGGTAATAACATTAACGTTAAATCTGATAGTATCTTTGAACTATTTAAACAAACAAAAACGCTTCAGTGCGCCCGCACTGGCAACGGTTAACAGGTTAATTTAATTAGCATCTGTCCAAAAAAATAGCCAGGCCTACCTGTATGCGAGCCAGGGAATTCTTGGGCATGTAACACGGCTCTCTTCATCTCGAAGTTGTTATTAATCCACTGAGCTGTGAGGCTCAACATGCTTGTTTGGTTAAGGTCGGAACTCCAGATACTGTTGTAAAACTGATGTCATTAGCATCGCTGTCGAGTAACTTGTGGACGTGGGTGGCTACGGTATCATGTAAGGCAGGCAGGGCGACATCCGCAAAGTAACGACGACTTGGCTTGTCATAGCGGGGCTCAGCGACCTCAAGCATCTCTCTGAAGCCTTCGTCTTCCACTACTGAAAACGGTTGGTCATCAACAGCGATCATCTTTGTTATTGCCATGGTCAATGCCTTTTGCTTCGGGTGGTCCTTGTGGAATTTCTTGTTCTTTTCCAACAAGCGTTCTATGGGGCTACCGACTGGTGCAGCTGCTGTAGTGTTATAAGCATTTTTCTTCTGCTGCTTGTTAGCATTAGCTAGTTTTTCATATTCTGTGTATGCTTCGGGATGCTTGTTTTTTAAGTGGGTGATCAAATTGGTCGTGTTGAACGATTTGACACGAACTCCCCCTCGCATCACCCGGCCCTCACAATTATTGCATACAGCATATCGAGGATCCTCTTCAGACACTTTGAAGAACGACCAGACAGACGACATCGTTGCTCCCTCACCAAAGGCAAAGTTAAACAGACTTTTTTTGCCGCCTCCAGCACATTATGTGACGTGCGCTCGTGCAAAAACAAACATCCCCGCCCCCGCACTCACATCTACACGCACGTCAAATACACAGGAATGATTATCGGCCTGTTCACATCGGCCCTATTTTGACATCGGAACGATACCGATGTGTAAAAAATTGACCATATCGGCCGATATTATATCGGCGGCCGATATATCGTGCATCCCTAGATCCTTCAGAAATGCTTTCACTGCAACTGTACTTTTCACACTATTTTATAATTTGTTTTCATTGCTGGCTTATTTTATGGGAAGTGTAGTGAATAAAAGACCTTCAAGAGACCAACATTGGTCCTCCACAGTATCAGGTTTTTGCCATCAACTGCAACTGTGGAGAGATCCCTTTCCAAAATGAGGTTAATTAAGAACCAACTCCGAAGCCTCTGCTCAGAGAAGAGACTCTCAGACCTTCTCCTCATAGCCATAGAGAGGGACAGCCCAGTGGATCACAGTGAAGTCATAATCATCTTCAAGCATGGCTCACAGAAGGTTTAAAGAAGCCCTGAAACCCTGTATATCTATATTATCATTATGGTTGTTATTAATAGTGAATAAATCTAAAGCTTTTGAGAATATTATTTTGTATTGAATTTGTCATGATGATGTGACCATTTCCTCCTTTTATGTAGGCTTACTAAATAATCTTGATATTAAAAAAAGGGAGGGGGTCGGGGGTGCCCTTTTTCAGTTTCAGCACATGCCCCTCAAAAGGTCTGTGCACGGCCCTGCGCCCCAGACCCGTCGCCAGACCTCAGTCTTAAGGGGGGCATATGAAATGCATGGGCGGGCACAATTATTATTAGCCTATAGTATGTATATTCATAATAATCGTATACTCTATTTGCGCAGCACGTAAACATCGCGTTAAACATAACCAACAGCAAAATGACCAGGTAGCCTTAGTATAGCCTACACCACATTACATAGAAGCAATGTTATGAATATCCATAAAACACTTGACTATACAACATATTAGATGTAACAGAAGCATCTCTCAAACATTGCATTTTATAGCAGTCAACAGAGGGATGCATTGCCACGAGACACACACACACACACACACACGCACGCACAGAGAGAGACATTAAACCTACCGGTGCTTTGAGTGGAGGCAGCGCTGTCCTCTCTCCAGTCCCTCCTGTCAGTACAGCGGGAGGCGGCGTTTCTCTGAGCAGAACCTCCTCATCACAGTATCCTTCCACTCGGACTTAAACTTGTGAGTGAGGTCCTTTTCAAAAGCAAGCTGAATCAGCTGGGCCTTGCGTCTGTGCAGCATACTGCGCCGATGCTCTGAGAAGGCGCCTTTGAGCGTGGAAAATGAGTTTTCACACATTGCTGTGGAAGCTCCTAAAGTTAGGGCAAGGGTGTAGGCTGTGAGGACAGTCGGCATAGCCTGGAGTGCACAGTTGAATGTGCTGAGGATGTTGGCTATTGTCCATTTTCCATCTTCGGGGGAATCGGGGTGTTAGTCATTTTCTTCACCAGGAACTCACGAGCCACAGTATATTCGGATTCAACCACATCAGTTCCAGCTAATACCAGGAGAGGGGTTACTTTTGACGGGTCCAGGAAATTATCCTCGGCCTCTGGGTTCAAAGCAGCCAGTGCGCCAATGAGCTCGCTACTGCGCTCTCCAAAACGCGCGCTCATCTCTCCTTGCACAGCATCGATAACACTGTAAAACAATCTCATAAACTCAGTCTTTTCGTCTATGTCACTTTGTGGCTGACCAACTGTTTCTTCAAATACAAATTCGCGGAGGTTCTTGTTAATTGTGCGTCTTCTCTTGCTTGGACCAGGGTACCAGGGTCGGTCACCGGCACAGATGCTGGAGGAGCGCAGAGATCCCACAGTGCAGAAAATTCATGACCCGTGTGTGTGTGAGTCTGACCCGTGTGTGTGTGAGTCCGTGTGCGGTCATAGTAGGGGGGCCCCCAACCAACCTCAAAAAAAAAAAATAATAGATAAGAAAAGAAAAAGCCCCTTATCATCATGAACGCTTCAAAAGCATAGTAAATGTTATTAATATTCTTAAGAAATACGTTGAAATGTCCAGTTCATGGTTATCTGTCCCTACACATAACCCCCTACTTTCACAATAAAATGGACTAGTCCGTATAACGGTGCGTGGGGCGAAACCGCGAAAGATAAACATGACAGGAGGACTGGGAAGTACACAACGAAGCAAGACGAGTCTAAACGCGAAAATGAAACGAAGTTACCCAAGCGGCTCAAATAAAAGACAAAAGACGCCGATGTGTATTTGGCAAAGCTGCCAAAAATGACAGACTTTTTTACGCCTACTGCTGGGGACACATGCCGCTACAGCAGCAGCTGTGAGGTGACGCGAGTTGAGGAGAACGTGTATACTGTTAGACAGAAAGGGCAGGAGTAAATATGACATTTATTATGGGTTTATCTGATGACTGTTCACGTAAATTAAAAGTAGTTATTTATTTTTTGAAACCTAATAAATGTTTAAAAAAAATTGCTTTCAATTACACTGTAATGTTGGATGGCTATGTTTAAAATTAGGGGAAAAAATCATTTTTATCCAGACATCAAAAGCTGTATTAGTATCAGTAGGGCTGACTTCTAAGGCTGCGTTTACACTTGGCATTAACATGCGACCTGTATCTGGATGTTGTCCACATACACATTGAAAAGACAAGTGTAGGCCTAAACGCACATCTGATCAGAATGTTGATCCCGGTTCGGAGGGAGTCGAGGACGCATTGTGATCGGATCTCAGTGTAATGTAAACGCAATCCAGCCGTCGTGTCTGCATTCACAGGTGGACGTAATTTAAATCCCCGCCCAGTCTCGAGACTGGTGAAAAAAAAAAATACTTTAGTATATTTCAAACATATTCACATTTTCAATAGTACATTTTAAATATGCTAAGAAAGAAGTGTACTATCTGTAAATATGTAAAAAGTACACTAACATCATGCTTGGACCAATTTGGGAATTAAAACTTTGAACACACTTTAAAATAATTGTACTACAATACACTTTTAAGAAATATATTATATAAAAGTATACTTTTAGTTAATTGTATATTTAATTTCTAAAGTGTACCACTAGAACGTCTTTTAAAAACATGTTTTTTGTATATTTTAAAATGTATGCTTAAAATGAACTTTGTAACAGTTCACTAAAAGCTTATTTTACAAATAAACATTTAAATATGATGAAATTTTAGACTATTTTAAGTTACATTCGAGTAAATATTAAGTAAACTCACTCATGCTTGTATGTAAGTACATTATTTGTACATTTCCTTTGGAATGTTTACATGTATTAATGCATAATATATTGATAGCCCATTCATAATATTTTTCAATAAAATACACAAATAGCTACTCCCATGTAATGTTTAATAAGTTTATATTGTTACAATACATCTTACACACTAAAACCATGTCAAACACAACACTAAAAGCACACATCAAAAGGGTACTTGCACACAAGAAATTTAGAGTAACAGTAAGTTGTTTAAAGTTGTTGCAGCCACTACATTGTGATTTTGCAGGTGGCACCCCTCACACTACATTAGACAAATAAATGGTGGCTACATTACATGCAAAAACAGTCCAAACATTAAAATCCTAACCAGTGTTCAAAAAATACGAACATTGTTTTTTTATTGTAGGAAAAAAATGGCTAATGCAAATAACAAAAACAGATCATGTGGGTCTTTGGTACAGGACAAATTAGGGGAAGTTGGTTTGGCATCAATATCTAAAATGCTGTAGAAGTAGCTCCTATACGATCTTATTACTTTTTAGTCACTTTCAACAGTGTTAGGTAGTGGAATGACATACATTTTGGTCTTCGACTTAACCATTACACATTTACGTTTCAGTGATTGAGGATGCACGGCAAATACATTGTTAGTGTGAGACACTTCATTTATAAATGTGGAGGATATATTTAGCTGAACATCTCTACAAACCTTTCCTCCGCTCTTGGCAAGCTCTTTTACTAAAACACAGAAGTCATTTGTGGCAGATGCTGAAGGTGTCCCATTGTCAGATGTAAAAGCCACTAGGGTCATAATTTCACATAATGTCCCATCACTTAACTGTACAACCGAATTATTTCTCTTTTTAAGGGTAGTGTTGTTATATGAATGATAAACAACACTGCTACAAATAAATCGGTCATAAAAAAAACCTGAATGAACTGTCACTCCTTTAAAATGTTCAATAGCCATCCTTTGCAACACAGATGTGCTACCTTTCTTTGGGCATCCAAAACCTCTGACATTATTTTGAAACTCCCTTGACTTATTTCTTAAGCCAGAACTAC